AACTCTTTTCTTTTTTGATCTTTGAATGAAAAACGCACAATTAAAAGTTCGAAACGACAAGTGCAAAGTCAAGCGCTAATTAATTAAAGCTTTGGTCTACTATCGTATGTTGGTGTTAGGATCAGATTTGCTGTCGAATACTCGAATGCTCGAAAGGCAACCGCATAATTAATTATTCCACGCTTTGTATGATTAGAAAAAAAACTTTTGATATTTATAATTGAAGTATTTATCGAGTATTAAGTTAATTATAAGTATTTATAGAATATTTAATCTCAATCTGAGAAAACTCGATCGGATGTTTAATTACAAACGATATTTTTTTATTAATAATCACAATTTAATTTAATTCTAATTTGTATCTAATTGTTTTCAAAATTTTTGTACGCTAGATATAACTGATTGTTATTGTATGCTCTTGGAGTAATGGAATAATTATCGACCCGAATATTCGCAATTCAAGCATGCGGATACTCGAGAAATCCCATTTTGGAATAATTACCATATACAGCTGAAATATTATTATTGAATATTCGAATTATACGTTGCACACTTCGAGTAATTCCGACGATACTGAGTGGAATGCGTCCAGGAACCATATTTCCGAGTTGAATGCGTTGCAATTACAAAATCAGAACATACTTGGACTTCTCGAGAAATTCTCAGCGTCCTCATGGATTCCTGCGGGTTTACTCGCAAACGCGAAGAAACAGAGTACATATGCTGTACAAAACGATTTAACATACGAACACAAAAGCCCCAAGTCACTCAATGCATACTTACGCGAAATATTGTACATTGAATTACGCTAGAAAAGGTGCCTTTAATCCTCCCACGCGTTATACAGAGGATAGTTCATTTTAATTTTAACAGGTAAATATTTCCAAATAAAAGTTGTATGGTATCAAGGGGGACGTACAATGGTGACGTCTCCCTCTATACTATACAACTTTTATTTAGAACGTTTTTTTTAAATTTCATATTTTCAAAGGATTTGCCTGTTAAGATTAAAATAAATCACCCTATACCCATATTCCATGCATGAAAAAAAAATTTTAAATAAAAGAGTTGAACATATATTAAATCATGTACGATATAATTTGACTAAAATTTCTATTTAATATATTGAAATATTAAATTTCTTATTTCAATTAGTACATATAATAATAATAATAAATTATTTAAAAAAAATAAAATTATTTCACATTTGAAAGCGTAAATCTCCTCATTCAAAGGACTCTTTCCTTGCTAATTAAAACTGCTTTGATTTTTCTTCACATTTAAAACGTGAGAGGATTAATAAGAACGATAATTACTCTGCTAATTCTCGACGTACAATCAGTTAAATCGTATATTATTACATTTTCTACTACCGATTCTACCATCCATCTTTGATATATTATTATATTTAGTCCCGAAAATAACATCCGTACAAAATTGACTACAGCCGATTGCTTTTATGATGTGTGTGTTTGAGTAGGTCATTTTAAAATCATTTTCGTGCGATGACAAAGTTGAAATAGGATGTGTATATACGTATTGACCTGGGATTTTCCGACCGGTACTGCTAAATTGTTTATAGGATTGAGTGAAACGCTCTATGAAGATAAAAAAATATGCGACGATCTGCATAATAAAGATATCATTTGTTCTTTTTTTATACGTATATGTAAGTGTTGTTATCCTCTTATTTTCTCGCTTTCCTTTGTTGAACAAAATATTGAGTGTTATTTAATTTTAAATTAATTATTATTAAACAAAAAAATTACATTAATTAAATTGCTGAATAATATTTCTAAAATGATAATTTGTCAATCTTATCATACAAAGTCATCAAAAATACTTCGTATACGTAGCGTATGTTATAATAATAATTAAACAAGTTATTTGTGAATTTTACTCTTTTGTATTTAAATAATTTAAATAATCTCAGAAATTCAATTTAAATATGTATTTCGAATATTTCGATATACGAATGTACTAATAATAATTGTAGTTGTCTTTATTGTATTTAATGATAATAAAAATGAAAATTGCCTTATTTCTAACATAAAACGGTAAATTCTTGCATAAATATATTGCTGTAATCATAGTCTTAAAATATCTTTGAGATATGGTATTTATACGGACGAAATGGTTAAAGATCCGTATATTGCATAAATCATTTGCAAAGTTTGCCCAACACCGGATGAGATCGCTTATAAAGGATGCGAGTCTCACATTTTCATCAGGATACGCACTTTGCATTCTGAAATTGCATTTTACGTATTATATATTCTCGTTGGAATAGACGGTGATACAAGTTGGTGTTTGGTCCATGGCATAGCTCTCTCTTATTTTTATTAATAGTTACTCGTATCGATCACAATATTAACTTCGATATCGTCGTGGAACTAAAACTCGTGCTCATAGTTGCGCTTGTGACTTAGCTCCTAGAAAAAGATCGTGATAAAAATCCTAACATTATTAGAAAAGTTGCGACGCAATAATTCATAGGAGCAGTGAGCACACACTGTCTGTATCGGTGCTAAATAGTTTTTTCCATGTTATAATAGTAACATTGTATCATCTTTAAATAATCGAATTTTGCTGAGCATAAATGTATTAAAATTCTGCTACACAATCACATTTTTTCTAAAAATAAATATACATTTGTTAAGGATACAATTTTTTTAGAAAAATATTAGAAAGAATGTAATATTTTATATATCATTTTTCAGTAAAAATGTGAATTAAAATTATTACAGCGTTATTAAAAATTTTAAAAATATTTTAAAGAGAAATGTAAAAACAAATTACAATTATAGAACAGTACGCGTAATTTATATGATTAACTCCGCGACATAAAATTTTCATTTTTTTGCAATATCTATTTCCTTCTTACATTTTTCTTCAAAAATTTGAATTATCTATTCAAATTTGTCTTCAATTGAGATTTTATCTAGCACCAATCCAGACGCGCTCCGAATTTCTCAATAATGTTGAATGCTTTGAACTTGTAAAGGTTGAAGATAATGACACTGTGTGTCGAAGATAACATCCGGTCGGAGGGAATAATCAAAATTGACGCGGAGGGGTTGCATTTTCTACATATTTTTATCTTATTAGGCCGAAAGCCGCCTTCGAGACGCGCTTCGTCAAATTTTTATATCCGGCCGGGCATTATCCTGGTGCAACGACTTCCATTTCCTTTCAGATGTGCTATGCACATTCTCTTACGAATGTAATCCTGATCCTTTTCTGATATTACACTTATGTAAGCGTTGTTATATTAGGGTTCATTCTTGAATGAAGTTCTATTTTATAGAGTGTTAAATTAGTGCATTCTCGCCACTTCATTGACTCCACTATCGTTGTGATTAGACACATTGTTATTATTGTACAAGCAGTAATCTAATTCATGAAAATTTAATTATGAAACAATTTTCGAGAGAGGCGACTATGCCGACTATTAATACACAGATATGGACAAAGTTGAAATTGTTAATAGTAGGTGGTTTAATTATGGGCGTCGGATGAAAGTTTTAGTTCAATTTGTGCGTTTCCTGGTCCGAGCGAAAATGTAATTGCTGCCAATTTTAATTTAATCCATTCCATTTTCCCTCGATTCAATTTAAGAACAGATATGAGTGAAAACCTATAATTTACCGCGAAACGAATGATAATTTTTTAGGAAACGATTGCAAAAATTGCAGAGAATTTTCATTTAATTTGAATAATCTTCGCTTAACTTACTTTAAAGATAATGCAATTATTATCAGTGACATATAGTGTAATTCTGTAAATGGGAAATATCGTAAATTTAACGATAGGATATTTCCGTCAAAACTTTTGCTCGTAAAATAGCACAGACATCACACGGTTGACTAATCCCACTTAATTAATAAATTATATTAAAAAATTGTATATAATGAATAAGTTTCTTTATTTTTACAATTTATGTTTGCTTCGCACTCTCCCATTCGAATTTTAATAGTGTCTTCAGTATTTAAATTAGTATTTTAATTAGAAAAAGAAATAAGTTAAAAAGTACCAACGAGACTGGAGTGAAGCGAGATTTTTTTTATCTTTTTAACTTAATGAGGAATTACTTAGTAATAATTACTTACAAAGAATGGAAGTAGAAAAGCTGTCGTGAGACTTGTTTAGTCTAAGTGCACATCAAAGTATTATTTTATGATTGCAATAACTTTCTTTCTCAACCCTTGTAGCAGCGACATTTTTGTGAAAAATGGATATGTTAGTTCGATATTTCCAGTTATATATTATATACTTAATATTTTTCAGTTATATATTTAAGTTCCTATCATATCTTTTGTATCGAAAAAGGATCTCATAAATCATACAAACATGTTATGTTCAAAACTAATTTCTTCCTTAATGATCTCAGTTATCGAGAAGCACGATCAAGTGGAGTAATTGTAACTTTCGAGTAAATAAGACAATGCGATGAGCTTCCAATGATGAATGATTGTAATCATTTGACGACGTTATGAGGAATATCATTTTTCATGATTTTTCGCAATATTTTATAATTTTGCCATCGGAAAATCATTATCGTTGTCTCGTTTACGCGACTCCTTCGCGATCGAATCTTATTCTAAAGCCGGCCGAGCATAAGGCTCGACAGGAAGTCGCAGCGCCAAGGATCAATGCCGCGAGGCAAGTGATAGATATTTTCGCGGTATCGCCCTAATATTTACAGTAAAGCCGCCTACCAGTCGATGGCCGCGCACGACGATGGTCGGTTGCCGACCCACTCGATCTCCATCTTCTCGAGAGTTCCACCTGTAGAAGGATGAGTCTGTACAAAAATGATGAACCGCGCGTAAGATATTACACGCGGTCGCACGTGGATGCACGAGAGACACAGATGCACTTTCGCGGAGCACTATCTGCCACGGTTATTTCACCGCAGTGTGATACGTTATCTTTAAATTTTCATATCCTAGCTTCGGGATGGACCCGACAACACCACCTGACGTCGGACGGCACGGATATCTCTCTTTCAGGGGATGCATGAATGTGTGTTGGTTGCCTGTGCGGGCGACGATAAAGCGACGGAAAAGTCCGAGTCTAGCACGAGGTCGCTAATGCAACCCACGATGCCTTTCGCGTACCTTCCTCCCGTTGTCCTCACGACATCCGGTGCACCGCCTTTGGAACGAATTCAATCAGCATGAAAAAATTGATTTTCTTATACGAAAGTTTATTTAATATGATAAAACGCAAGTGTAACTTTCTACTCGTAGAAGTACACTTACTAAAGCATAATTCTTTACTAAAATTTTTTTTAAACAATTTAGTATTTTTTAAGTAATTAGGCATTGATTAATTTTATCATATCTTTTTCTCTTCACGAGGAAATAGATTTGTAATGTCTTTTCACGCAGAATAGATTTGTAAAATCTTTTTACACAGAAATATTGTCAATGGCAATTTATATTTTGATCACGAATGAATTTAAATCTATAATGAGATAGTAATGATATAAATTTTGATTACTTACCGACGTAAAGACCGGTATCAGTGTTTAGTTGTCTCAGTTGCCCCGGAGAAGATGCTGAGACACCAGTACCACTATCTACCACGAGAGATGCCCATTGTTCATTTCTAGAAAAAGTCAATGTTATTCATTGCTCTATGACCCATTTCGAACATAAACATTTTTCTTTTCTCCGGTTTAATAAAAAGCGATTTGGTTTGGAAAGAGGTAGACACAGATATTTTTTATTCGCTTTTGGCGAAATATAGAATGGTGTAGATTAATACATGAATGTTTATAAAAAATATTCTTCTTTCATGAAATTTCATGGAAATAGTACCATTTTAAATGGTAGCCTCAAGCTACACAGCTATATGAAAAATTGGAAATAGAACAACATTTCTACACAATATCCTGCTTGCATATATGGAAACTACATATTTCTTGACTAACAATTTTTTAACGAATTTATATTCATTTTTAAATTAAAATTGAATCGTCCTAGGTTTTTGTCACAGCTTTTTTATTTTTAATTACTTTTTAACTAAATTCATGATGAAATTAAATTCCTCTAAATATACGTGTATTATATTTTGTTGTAACAAAATGTGAAAATAGTTATTTTCTCGTATATTTAATAGGATATTACAACACATCTGTTAATATCTCCACTCTTTATTGATCAATTGTTAAATAAATAAATGTTATGAAAATAAGCGCGCAAGCGGAAAAGAGGGTTGGATAACGAAGCGCATAAAAGCGTTTATTCTCACCTAACGGCCCTGATACGATGCCACAGATCGTCATCCAATCGCGTGAGATTATACCGTAATACGGCTTCTCCGGAACCTAAATTATATGCGAGAGTAAGATAACCGTGATCCAGGCCGAGGGCGAGGAAGTCATCGTTTTCATCCCTTTGTTCCTGAGGATCTGATTGGCGACCGCTCCACAGCAGTAGGCCGCTGCTGCTGCTGGCGCGGAATCTCATATTGATGTCTACCCTATAACTGATTATCCTGCAAACATTGATAAGAATATTTTAATAGGAAAACAAAAGAAGGAATTGTGACGAATGTGACGCACAATGAGGAATGATCAAAAAATCTGGAGGGAAATAATTAAACTTTATAATATCAATTTTAATTATTAACGGCTATTCTATATTCCAATTTATTTTGTATAATCAGTTCATATATTGATACTCTTTGTATAAATAACATGAGTAAGAGACGCTATACGTGGAACGAATAATTTGGCTGAAGAGTATCTAAAAATTTAGCAAGACACACACACACACACACACACACACACACACACACACATACAGATCTGAAAATATTGTTGAACTCTTAAAATACTTATGTAAGAATTTCAAGCATGAGCAATGCTGCAAAAAATTTTGACATTCTAGCAACTAATTTAAATGTTTTACATAATTATTTTGATGGTTCAACAAAATTATTTTCAGATCTGTATCTAGCTAAATTTGTAAATGCTTCAGCAAAATCATTTTTTCCGAAAGTCTTATTTCATCAAAAGAATTGGACAACTACTATATGTAAATTAAAAAGTTATCTAATGAAATAAAGATTATTTTTGTCTTATGCGTGGCACGAACGTCGATAATGCAGCATTATTAAATCAGGTCAAGGAGTGATTGTGTAATGCAACGTGTAACGCTGTTTACCGTCCCACTCGGTTTCCAAACGTCGACGACATATCGCTTTGGCATTTATCAAACTTTTGCGTGTTGCCGATTATTTCACACTTGCGTAAATAAAATATTAATAAACGAATTAACAGGATTTTTAAATTACAAAAACGGATCACTAACACATTCATGAAGTCATGAGGGTAGAAAATGTGTCAGTTGAGTACGTTCATGTAGGAGAGAGTCACATGTCATAATTTTAAACATGATAGCAAAAATCACAAAAATAGGAAAAAACTATCTATTTCTTTCAATACTCATTCGAAATTTCAGGAAAATAAAGAATGATTGTAATATAATTATAAAATTCTCAATTTTCTAATATAGAGGAGAAGATGGTATTATGGCCAGTGTACATATTGTAGCCTCCCTTAATATCTCCGCTATTATATAGCGAATCCTAATGATTACTTATGGTCTTATGGAATTATTAGTTCAGTAGCTCGCCGTTACACTATGACGCTAATATTACCAATACTCAATAGCTAGCACTTATTATAACGCATTTTTACTTTCAAGTATTTCAAAAGGTTTCTGAGGTATATTTTAGCATTTAATTATACCTACTGCCTCATTTTTCATAAACTTGAGCGTATTATCACATGAATATATGTATTTCTGAGTGTGTTATTTGCTATTTAACATTTTATTTGACCGTATATATTTTGAGTTATGCAAAAATTTAAACAATACCGTGGCATTTTGCTAATATGGCCTTCTATGGATATTAATTACTCACAATTTCTTTTTTGAGATTTTCATATCAATAATTATTTCATAATCGATTGTATAGCTCTACGGTTAATCTATAGTTTATATTACGTGTACTATTTTTAGTACTGAGATTTTAATCACGTTACTGAGCAGCTTATATACAGAAGTTATGTGAATGTATATACATTCATTTGCATACATTTTAAAATGTTTTACTTTTTTGTTAATTTTGTAACCAAATACTGTTTTCTAAACAAAACTAATATTTTAAGGCTATTTTTATGATAGGCCACATTACCACTCATTTTTTTCTTTGAGTCATTATGCAATGTCGCCACATTTTTATTAATAGCATCCTAAGTAATAAATATTTCGTAACTTTGAGTCCAGAATCGATTCAACAACATTTTAACGAATGTAATTGTCAAGTTTTAAACTTAAATATTGATTATTAATAAAGTTGTTATGTAAAATATAACTGAGGTGCCATAATACCACCTTCTCCTCTATGTATATTAAAATGTTCGAAGTACAAAATTATCAGAATTTTTTGTTATTGAAGTTTGCCATTCATTATTTATGTGTAGAGCACCTTTTCATTGTGTCGGCGTCATTATAATGTAGATAGCTTTCACTGCCGGTGAAGCTGGGCACAGCCCTCTCGTATCTCACGGACGTAACGGCGTTACTGCTGGTTCTTGCCGGTGGCGGAACCAGCGGCGTATAATCATCCGGTGCAGGACAAGGGTGCGGTACTCCTGGACGGCACCGGCAGGTAAATCGCTCGCGAAGAGGCCGACATTCCGCATCACCACACGGTCTAGCCTCGCATGCGTGCCCACAATTTCCTACATTCACTCCACCTAACGCTTCAGCTAGGATACCCACCTATGATGAGAATCATAATAATTGACAACAAACAACAATAATAATATAAATGAAAATAAAAAGTGGTCGATTAAAATAATATGACAGAAAGCGAATTTGCTTGTATTTGCTACATTGATTGAAATGTTCCTGTTAAAAAAAGATTTAATCTTCACACAATTTGAAAAACTTTTAATTGCTTCTCTTATTAATCTCTCATATATAAATTATTAGAGATAAAAAATTCAGAGTCGTGTGTTTTGATGAATTTTTAATCAGTTTTTTCAAGGTGTTATAATCTCAATATTTCTGAAAAAGAGAAAGCTTTTTGAGAGCCTTTTATGAATTTAGCTTTAAAGAGTTTAATTTAATTTTAAATGGGCTTTTTATTTTAATTTGATTCTTATAATAAATTATTATTATTATTATTTATTTGCTTGTCTGTTACTAGTAATTTTCTGACTTGTAATTATATGTTTGTTTACGTTACTTTATGTCTGTTTCATCTCGATTTTTATAAAATACCAGATGCGACAATAGAGATTTAAATTCAAATGATTCAAGTGGGGAGTTTCAACATCTTATCTACCAGACCAGAGTAACTCAAACTCCAAGGCATTCCAACAGTAGCATTATCTACCGCGCAACTTCAGAGCAGCCTGTATAATCCCAGTGTTCTTACCTCGCGATTATTCAGCACGATCGTCTGAATACAGCCGACGAAGCTGGCCGTAGTTTTCATCTTCGGCGAATACATGTCGGAGGACGGTGCTCCGCCTAAATAGAGGTTCAGCGGTAAGGATAATTGCGTGAACGCTCCGGGCGCCAGGATTTCCTGGGCCGGGTCGTCCTCAACTTCTAAGGATGCCAAACGACCTGTTCTGGAGACCCGAACTTCGACCCATTCGCCAAGACGAACTGGATTTTCGCTTCTGAAACAATAACGCAGATATCACTGAAAATGCAACATCATTAACTTTTGAAGGACCGGGAGATATTTTGAAATCTGAAAATTTCATCAGACAGAAAGAAGAAAGTTTCCTAATTAGTGGATACGAATCTACATGTGTGAGTTATATATTATGTGTTATAAAACTCATAAAATCCGATTTCTTATTGGTGCCGATTTGTTTTTTGGATTATTTTGAATCTAGAAATGAATTGAAGTAATATGATTATAATAAAATGGCATTAAAAAAGCATAAAAATTAGTTTTTTTTACTTTAATTAAAAATTATATAGTATAAAAAAATCCTCTTTAAATATATTTTTTTGCTAATTATTTGAAAGCTACGTGCTTCAAATGTGCTTTTAATATTTTTTTGATAAAAGACTGCGTTTCGAATAAAAAAAAATAATTTCGATATTTTTCAGGATTAAAATTGTAAATATCTATTTATTTATATATATTTCTTGTATATTCATTTTTTTGTTATTATTTCTAGTAAATACGACATTAATTAGTACGTATTTTATTTTAATCTTTCTTTATCTTTTTCATTATAAGAACTCTGAATAAGAAAATGAAGTATGAGAGACGATATGATCCTTCTAACACGAGCGAAGTATGACATAAGGTTCTTGAAGAATATCCGAGATTGAAAAAGAGAGACGATATTGCTTTTTACGGATTTTTCGAACAATTTAATTTTTTAAAATGGATCTTTGTACGAGAACAATTTTTTTTATCTTCTATTTATGCTCTCACAAAAAATCAATCTCCCTGCGATTTTACGTCAACTTTATAGGATATACGTATGTATCTATCGTATTTTCACATTGCATCTCTTCTACTGAAAATCCTAACGTTGGAAAACATTCTGCCCGGAGCAACTCTACTTTCCACGAAATGAAACTCTCGCAAAAACACATTAGCATTGAAAAACTAGAACGAGACTTGCACATTGAAAAATTGAAACTAACGGCACCTTTCGTCGCGGGGCCCGTGCGAAGCAATTAACGCCGACCGCTCTCTCCTCTCTCGTTCACGTCTACAATTATAATCGACGTTAACTCGATATTGACGGACGCTCCATCGATTTGATTTTGCAACGACGACGCCCGGGAAGCTGCGCCAGCCAGTCAACCAGCCAGTCAATCAGGCAGGCAGCCTGGAGTTTTCCTCCAAGCGTACAGAGGAACGAAAATTCGCGCACGTACCGTGGAAACTTTACGCTCGTGGCCACAAAGTCAGATCATTCAATTTGAATTTCGCAAGGAAAGTCGGCGCGCGTTTTGTAGACAATGGATTCTCTCTCGTAGACGGAGATCGGTACTTTCCTTTCTCAGAAGAAGATTCGACAGAAGAAATTCTTGCATAATTAATGTCGAATTGTTGGGGGAAGAGGAAGAAGATTCGTGGGATTGTAAACGGGAAGTAAATTGCTAATTAATAAAGGAACGATGGAGTCGGAAATTTTCATATTGGACTTTTCGTTCGGCGTTATTATGATAAAAGATACGACGCGCTTGGAACTTCGAGGCTCTCTTGTTATCTGCTTCTTTTTCCAGACGGAGTTAAATATCCTTGTTTAATGGTGCACGTAATAATGCACGTTTTTTTGCGTCCCAGTCTTCTAGCGGTCGCTTTTTATTTAACAAAAAGGAAATGTATTTTTGCGTGAGATTTATTAACTAACGAATTGAATTATAAATAGCATGTAAATGTTTCTGCACAACTAGGAAATTGTTAATAGAATATTACGATACATTATAAGAATTGTTCATATATGTATGTTATAAAATAAATTTATTCATAACACGCAAAAATGATAAATTATATGGTATTTATAAAGAATATTTCTAATATTTAATAATCAATCTTTTATTCAAAAATCAATAATTTTTAAAGTTAAAATATCAAGGTATCAATAATTTCTCTTTAAGTGATCTTTTTTCACAGTTTAAATCTTTTTTGTTTAATTTTATGAAAACTCTACTTTCTCTGATAGACTTATAATTTGAAACTAGAAGCTGCTAATATGTTATTAAAATTTAATAAGATGTTGCTTAGTTGTTAAAATTTAATTTTGAGGACTTGTGACATAATCTCTCCTGATGCTTTCGCAAGAAAACTGATTAAAAATTCGTTAAATAATGGAATAAATTGTATAATACATATATGATATATTACAAAATTTGTTTAGCATAAACATATGTTGCATATAATAAATTTAACACAATATTTGTATCGTTTTTGGATTATCGATTTGTTTAAAATTTTATTCGATTGTGAAGTATAAAGGGATATTTCAATATTTAGATTTTATTCAATGGAATTGAAAGTAGTTTGATAGTCAAGCTGTTAGAATGCGAATGCGAAATATTTCACAAAATTCATTTTTAACAGAGAAAGAGAGAGAGAGAGAGAGAGAGAATATATTCTGAATAATTTTATATTAATAATACAAACGGTCGCATGTTACATTTACAAAAATAATTTTTAATTTAAATTTTGATATAAAAATTTTAACTAAGACATATATAAATTTTATAAAATACTAGTTTTCTATGTAATGTTTCTTTATACGGAAAAAATATTAATGAGATCGAATTGACCGAGGCCGATTGTCACAGTTTTTGAATAATGATTTTTAGAAAAAAGTCGACGTAAGATTTGTAAACATTACGTTATAATATGTACATTACTTAGGTATTAAAAAAATATTACTTGAATTATTGTACAAATAAGAGATATTTATTTATAAATAAAATTACTAAAATATGATAATATAATTAGCATTGCACGCAGAATTGATTGTCACACGTTCATGTTGGTATATTTTTTTATGAATAAAATGTACAAAATAGAGTTTTTATTTTAATGTAACTTCTACACCATTTCAAGAAATAATAGTAATCATAGCATTAATTTAAGCAAAATGGTTATTTTAATTATAAAATACATAATTTATTTTCGTGCCATAGTTTCTATACTAAACATGGAAAAACATATATCTATATGAAATGCTATATTCGTAAATATATTGTTTAAAGAACGTGTTGATTTAAATACTGAGAAAAATGTTTGGTTTGATTAATTGGAATTCTAGTTGAAAATGTACAAATCAAACTTTTCCGGTTAAACCTATACTAGAATTCTAATTGAGATAATTGGAATTTGTAGTATAAATTGGAATTATAGATATAATCAGAATCCTCTGATTCGTCCATTTTCAATAAAATATTTTTCTTAATGAAGAGATTGATTATCACTTAATTCATTTTAAACAATCTATTCCATATTGACAATTTTAGTAAAAAAGATAGTATTCACAAATTTTGTTACAATAATGATTAACTAACTACAGTAAAAATTACAAGACATACTATTTTTTACAAGTACAGGAAAATCGTGATTAATAATGTCAAAAATTAATAAAAAAGCAAAAAAGGAGATAAAAACATTTACCAACTTCATCTTCTTAAAAGTTGTTGTAAGACCGTGCTCCGATATACGCTACTGAAAATCTATAGTGAACGTTACATATAGTGGAAGGTAGTGTACCTTTGACCAATATTGACATTTTTTCTTGTGCAAGTTGTATTTTGATGTCTAAAAATTAAAAAAAATTCTAAAATATTATTTAAAATGTTGACAGTAACATATATTTTTTATAGATTTAAATTGTTATGTTTTGTACATCTTTTTTAACATTAGAAAAAAATTGAATTTTGGTCAAAGGTACAACACCCATGTACCTCTGACCAGGGAGTGTTGTACTTTAATTTAATGTATAAAATGTGTATATAAAGATAAGATATTTATTATATTCAAAAAAAGTTTAATTTTATTTACATTTTTATATTTTTAATGTCTTTTACATCATATATAACTCTATATATAAAAATAAACTTTATCATACAAAGACGCGATTTTCGTTTTTGCACAAAACGATTCAATCTGGCAAAAATAGTGTCCTTCGTTCATTTCATTCAAAATCGCGTCTAATGAGCATAATTTTATTAATATTGGATATAAGATAGCTAAATTAAATGATTATCCGACATATTGACTGATCAAAGGTACACTATCAGTTACTAGTTACAACGCTTGCTCATTTTCTATTTGTTATTACTTTTATAGGTTAAATTATAGGTTAAGATTGACAGTATTAAGTTTTAAATAATTTTTTCTGAATATCTATTTAACATTTTAGGCAAGTCCAACATAAGACAGAATACATATACAAAATTTTATGAGATTAAAAAGTGTCTTGAAATTACTTCATTTGAACGCTTGAAAAAACAATAAATTTTTCATAAGAGTATAATTCTCTTCATTATTATAATTATAAATTATAAAACACCTCTGGTACTCATACTACAAACTACATATTTTTACTTTTACAAATATCCAATAGATTTTTTATAAATTCAAATGATTAAAGATACAACCGGTCAAAGGAACACCATGTTTCCCTACTATACAGTTCCCCTACTATGTAGATTTTCAGTAATAGCAGTGTAAATCGGAACACGGCCTAATAGGTAATATACACGACACTTTTGGCATAAACTATTTTATTATACACTAATTTAATATTATATCAGCAATATAGTAAAAAGAAGAGAATGCTCTGCCATATACCGATTGAGTTCTTAATTTTTTGACAATCAACCCTAGTATGACAATGCTATCAGTCTTCCCTACTTACATTTGGTTTAAATATGTATATTCGCATTCCTATAACATAATACCTACAATTTTTTAATATTATAATCAAAGAATGTTTTTTAAAAGGAATTTTTTTCAGTTTAATATGTAAAGTTTTTTTACGTATCATATTTTTAATTATGATAATAAAAAGTTCAATAATAAAAAATATAATAATTTTTAATTTAAATCATTAGAAATAGCTGTTTAATTTTTGCAATAATTATCATAAATGTATATTGTCAGCTTTAATTGACTTTATTTAATAATTTTATTCGTTGTTTACTATTACGACAAATTAAATCCAACAATCCGATTAGCATTAGCGCTTAATAACGTTCCATTTATCGCAAAATATTACCTAAAAATGCTAATCGATATTAAGAATATAATAGCCTGAGTGTAATCATTCGTTAAATATTTCCGATGTTTATCCAAGAGAACAGTTACAGCTTTAGAACAATTTTGTTTAATAATGATCCCATTTGTTGTTAATTAACAACAATTCAAATAATTAGCATTAAAGCGCATTAAAAAACTCTCTCTTCGTAAAACAGCAGGTAGCACAAAAAGTTCGGGCGTACGATATCGACACGCGTTTCAGTTTAGTTATCGGTTTAATTATCTGATGATGCATACGCAAACGATGCAATTAGTGTCTCGTCGCCAACGCTGCGCTACGCGGTGTGAGTAACAGCGTCTATCGCGAAACCACCAGCTTCGAAGGTGGATTGTCACCTCGAGCTGTTCGATACGCCCGGTAGAACCGTTTGCTGAAACTTCGTCGAGGGCCATCGGCTTACCTCAAAGTGGCAGGTCCTGTTCCGAGGTCGAAGGTGAACTGCACGTGGCCCGAGGAGAGATAGAGAGCAATAAAGTCACCGGTGGCATCGCTGTGATGGCCGTTGTAGAGTATCACGCCGTCCGGCGTGGTCGGTTTTAACGTGACGAACAATTCCAGCCACGACAGCGACGTGTCCGCCAATCCCGGATAACGTAGGTAAGAGGATCCGTTGAAGGATGGAACCTGTGGGAATAAAACATCGTTGTGGTCTGAGATTGCATGGAAATGTCGTTACTGGGCAAATGCATTCCCGTTTTTGCCGCCCATCCTTAATCGCCTGCCATTGGGGAAACTGGTGAACGCATCGTATTTGTTAGGTTTTATGTTTTTTAAACGGTAGTAAAAAAATACAGGATGTCCTCTATGTCTGGCAAACTATTTATATATTTTCGATTAATTTGTGCTTGATTTTTTGTTATTGATAAATCAAGAGAGATTATCAATTGCTGCAAGTTTTTAGCATTTAACATGAATATTTGCATTATTCTTTACTAAAATTAATAAATCGCTAAACCAAAATCTATTGAGAATTAAATTAAGTTTAAAAAACTTTTTGTTTACAAAATGATTTACAGTTACAAAACAATTGATTTCTTTAATAGTTTCGTTCAAAAAATAACGGATTAAAAAATGGTTTAGTATATTTAAAATATCATATGGAATATTATCAGAATAAAAAATTTCATTTCTTTCATATAGAAGTGTAACTGACTTTTTTAAAACTAAATTTTAAATTAAACTTTCAAATTTGCTAAATAAATTTTAATTCAGAAAGTAGAAGAAAGAATATAAAATGTAGCAAACATACAGATAGAAAACAAAAGAATATGAAAATAGATAATTGTAAAAGATATTATAGATAGATATAATCATTCCATCTTCTTTATCAAATTTGGAAATGTGATATTAGTAGAGATTTCTTGTGATATAATGTTTCGAATGTGAAACGTTAATATTATACCTACTTGCGTGTACCTACTGTAAATGATAATGTAAGTTTAAGGAGGAAATTGCAGTGATAATTCATAACTGCTTCCTGAGAACACGAGACTTTAACGTATTCGTAAGTATGGTATTCCAAAAGGGACTATTATATTGTAGCAAAAGTATCTATAAACTAAATGTGAATTATAGAAAGAGAGAAAAAAATACTTTAGAAAATAATTTATAGAAAGGATTTTAGCAAATTTGAAATAATTTTATTTTAATTGACTCTCTATATATGTATATCATTTTATATCGAGTAAATATTTACATAAATGAGAGAATTATAATAAGCATTTCTATTGAAACAAATGTCAATTGCGTGAATAAATATATCATAATGTAGATACAATTATTAATTATTTTCGTATCAATTAAGTTTCTATTACATTGATTTGTTCAATTAATTTCATGAGTTTTTTTTTCAAGAAATTAAATTATTCTTGTTACTCTATATTTGTAATTATATTAATGAAAAATATTTTGTAAGAAAAAGTCGTTCGTATTATCTCGAAAGTATTTTTTTTCTTTTTTTGCACTATCTGGAAACGTTCTTCTCATATTCTTCTCATATTACAGGTACTTGTTCCTCCATTCGTAAAGATTTTAAAATCATAATAGATTTAAACAATATATTTTTTGTTATTACAAACGCACATGTTTGCTCTCTCTCTCTCTCTCTCTCTCTCTCTCTCTCTCTCTCTCCCCCACACACACACACACATATACATTTCTCTTGCGGCAACTGTAATAACTCTTCTTGTCATCAAGCATAAAGTAGAGAAACTCTCGGAACAGCTGTTGTTATTTAATTTACGACCAGTGCGGGATTTTGTGCTTTTCGTAAATCGGGATGCAAATACGCTGTATGTCACTGTCTCGGATAATCCTTAATATAGCTGCATTCACCAAGTGCCTTAAGAGCAGTAAGAGGTCGAAACGCGTTGCTTCCGTCTTAATGAGTCTGGCTGATAATTGTTTGTACGTCAGTTACCTCTCAAGATAAAATGCGAAATGTAAACGTTCGTGCAAGATCCTACGACGAATTATAGTATCTTGACATTTTGCAAAACTCAAATGGGAAACATCAATGTGTATGTTATAAATTTTATAGTTATAATTTTATCTTCTCTTATTTTATCTTTTTTATTTTTAAATGTATCAATAAATACATCATTGAGATCAAGCAATATATTTTCTCTTATGGAAATTTTATAGTAATTTGATTTTTATACCTTTGATTTGATTAATAAAAAATAAACATATTAAAAATACGCTACATCATATATGATATATAGCTACGAGGCCGATTAAAAAAAAATTTTTTTTTGTCAGTTTAATATATGTATATGTACGTGTATACATACGTATACCTCAAATATAATTTTTTTAGAATAAATAAGAATTTATACTTTTTGAGATAAAAAAGAAATAAGTCTATTTATTCTCATCCAATTGAGAATTTTATTTGATTTTTGAAAGAGAGAGAGAAAGAGAGAGAGAGAAAGAAATATAGTACGTATTATTTTAAAATATACACATATAGTTTATTCTAAATTAATTAAAATTTTATTATCGATTTGCTTTCAAAAATTCATTGAAACCTTATTTAATAAAAAATTGTTTACTTCTCTATATTTATGTCAAAGAAACATTATAACATTTGAGTTATGAAATTATCCATATAAATCACATTACGAATATCATTTCCTGTTTACTTTTTCATTTTGCTTGATACTTATTCGATTTCTTTACTCAAAGATCTTTTAGTGTACTTTTCGTCGTAAAGAAGGACGGTGAAAAATTCGAAAAATCAAAAGAATGAAAGTGCAAACGGTCCTTTCAAAGTACGGCACGAGAGCGGCGTAAATTAATTACGACAAAACGAAAGGAATCCTTTAAGATATTTCCAGCCCCGCACGACGCCTATATGCTCGTTGGCCTCCTTTTCCTTTTCCTGCTACATAAAAGCTACGTCCCGGTGATAAGGAGTTCCCACGGGATAGCCAGGAGAGAAGTAACCTTGTATTATGCGAAAGACCAGCAACTCGTAAGATCCCTCGGGGAACACCCTTTCTCACCGCTTACGACATTCTGTTCAGAGTATGTTCTCCTGATGTTCATGGCAGTTTGCGGACTGCGGCACGCAAAGACCGTTGATAGGTTCACGAATTTTTTACGAGACGGTTTTGAACTTTGAAATGTTCTGCTGCATTATCGAGTAGACGTGGTACACGTCGGCTATTACAAACGCCATTGAAACTAAACGTTGTTTTACTACCGAATGATTGTTTGATCTTTAAAGGTAACATTTTGTTGATTGTATTTGTTGTATTATGGAAGGTGCTTTTGCATTTATCCAGCGTATTAATTCTATCAAACCCTTAATTATATATTCGTATATTTCTAATATATATTTCAAATTTATTTTATAATGAGAGAGAGAATATATTAATCTATTTTTTAAGTAGAAATAAATAATGTGATAGCATATCTATTTTTTATGCGATTTAAATATTATTTGGTTATAAATAATAATGTTGATAAAATTTTTTATTGATATGTAGTTATAATTCAAAGATTTTATGCTTTTCAATAATACGATTAAAAATATAATCAACAGATTATATTTTGTTATATACACATTAGTATCAAAATTGTATATATTAATATTATTCTTTTTATTAGACATTAAATTTCATCAATAAAATAAAGTAATATATATCACTTCATATATTTTATTATTGATATATAAATTTAATTAACGGAAATATCGTAAAAGAGTAATAAATAAAGACATAAATAATATAAGCAACTATAGCTATGAAGCTTAAAAAAAAATCAATAATATAATATTTTAAAATATTTTTATTTAGTGCATTTTTTAATATAGAAAGAGTCATTCTTCTATATACCTCTTTTTAACCAACATAATTTTTGCGAAACATAACGTATCCTTCTTTTGGGTATGTAATTTCCGGAAAAGCTTTTCATGTTCCTTCATTTTAGTGTAGAAACCACTTTGTTCAAATTGCATATGAATAAAAAGAAGGTTATAATATATATATATATATATATAAAATTGCAACTATGAATTCAAAATTGCCTAAATACTATGTGTATTGATGGATCATACTTTTTTCAGATATTGAATGTATATATAAAATTCAAAATAAAATTACATAATGAAAACATATTTTTTTAAATATTTCATATTATATTTCATATAATATTTACTGTTTAAGTTGCAATAAATAAATTTATGAAAATTTTATATTCTATTTGTTTATCTCAATTTATAAAATTTAATAGCAGAACTTTAATAGCGTACTTAATTCTTTTATGTTTCGATAAGGAAACTCGTCAGCTATTTATTTACGCTTGACTGGAAGGAATATTATCTTCCTCGTTTCACGTAAATGATCCAATAAAGAGTGTCATGCGCATTTCTTACGATAAAATACCGTTTGAATTGCTTAATTTTTATCTTGACATTAGCGTTTTATTTCGACATCCGGTGGCATCTTTCGGCGGATGTTGCAAAAATGGTTATCGCCGTAAATTACGACAATATTCCGGCGACATTTGGTTATTGCGGCTATATCTCTTCCGCTTGTACGTTAATGGAATTAAACTCGGGAACGGTCGGGCGAGACCAAAGTTCGAGAACGAGTTTCGAGTTTGAAGTGATACTCGTTAACTCGAGCCCTTTATGGTCGTTTCTCGAGCTAGTTTATGTTCTGATTTCGAGATCGAAAACGCGGTAATCCTACGAAGGGATACATCTCTCTACCGACTCTTGCAGTTCCTGCACGCAAAACGCAGTTTGTATTGTATGCAATACAAAGAATAGCTTTTAAAATGCTGTTACTAATTTAAAACATTAATAATAATCATTTAATATCCGTAAATAATTTTAATTAAAGGTGCGTTCCGATATTCACTGCCAATGCTGAAAATCTATGGTGCACGTAACGTGTACTGTATAGTTTCACTTTAAGTGTACACTTTAAAAATTAGTTTGAATTGTCCAATATATAAAAGTAATTGAAGGTAACATTTAATTTTAAATTAAAATATGAAATAATACTTTTTAAATAAGTGTTGAAATAATTTTCACAATTTGTAAAGTCTTTTACATTTGCTGAGGACAGTCTGATTGATCCTCAGGAAATTAATCTTAACACAACTATCACTGATATTGAAGATAAAGTAGTGAGCCGTTACTGATGCATGTGAATGAATCTTTATAACTTGGCACTTGGTGTCATTTCGCTTCGTGTTGGAAGTAATATCGGTCGAACGCCGATACCAATTTCATCATATCGGAGTGAACATACCCCTCTGCTTTCCGCCATTGCCATAATCGATATCGTATATATAACCGCGCATAATCCGCGAGAAACCGTGCACACGCGCGGGCGAACCGCATATGGTGACTTCCGGCAAATGCGACGGCGTTCGCTCGATTAAGCCAACTGATATAAATCGCGAGGATTTCAATAAACATTGTTTGGTCTAAAGTATTTTTATATATGTATTATATATGTATACATGTGCACATGTATACTGGTGCACGAATTATATCTTTCTATTCGTTTAAGCCGCCTCATTAGCGGCGTGGATGTTAATTACTCGTAGCTACTCGCTTATTGCGCGGATAAACGTGTCATTTGCGAAGCGAGTGGACGCGATCGATTCTCGTATGTCGCATCGCATTTTGCGACAATACATTAACGCAGCGGAATAATGCATATCCTAGGGCGGCTTTTTAAACGGAATAGAGTGGCCACAGTATTTTATGCGAAAATAATGAGACAACCTTTGAATAAAATATAATAATACAAACTATTTTAATGTCATGAACCGTCGTATTGTAAATTTTTTATATTAGAAATTTCCTGTAAATTCAAATCTCATAATCTCATTTTTCCAAACAGTTTAAAATTATAAATATGTAAATCTTTTTTATGAGTGTAAAACGTAGAGACTGACAATCAGTCACGCTGCGATAAAATTTTGTTTAACAGACTGCTAGCATCCAACTTTAACTGCCTCAAAAACTGAAGTCCATTTACTTAAATCCCTTTATAATTTTAATATACTCAACTCTCCCCTCTCTCTCCTTTCGAATAAGCTATGACTCATCTCATTTACCATTTCGCAGTTTTTGCGGTATTCTTGTTAAAAAAGGGCTGCTAAGAAATAATGAAAGAATTAAATGCTCTTTTTTCATTCACGATATAGATATGAATTTAATCTAGAAAGAGACAATTTAAGCTAGAAAGAGGCAACTGATGCTTGAGTCAAGCTTATTCGATTCATACTCTATCGATGTAATCGGATCTTAGATTAAAGTAAGCTGCATATAATCCATTAAATCTCGTAACGTGACGGCATAACAACGTCATGTCTGATATGATGTAAACGCGTTCGCTGTCTATACATCTGCAAATATAGATACAATTCTCACGTACAAGGAAGCGATCCAAGTTGTATATATAGCAATTCTTATGTGCTTTGAAACATGTGTTCTTTGAAAAACATTTTTAAAGTCAAAGTTATATTAAAATGTTTTTAATTAGTCGCGCAGATATGAACAATTTAGAAATTTTTAGATTTGATTTTTGTCCGCGTGAATTTAATTGTTACATGATATGATTGATGTGTGAATTTCTAAGTAGAGAGAAATTCCTGTATCACACACAGCGAACTTTTATATATGCCTGACTGTATGTGTATGTGTATGTGGACAGAAATATCATGATGTGATAGTAAAACGAATAAGCTAAAATACATGATATTATCGTAATATTTTTGTTACAAATTATGTTTTAATTTATTGAGTGATATAATTCATAGTGGTAATTATACCGAATAGGGGACCTCCCTTCTATAACCTTGACCTTGACATATATTGTCAAGGTCACGACCCTGAGTAACCTCCAACAGGTTTTAGCCGTCGCTCGTCCTTTATTAACAAGTTATTAACAAAAAAAGTTTGAAAAATAATGTCCCTTTTCTACTATATAAAATAGAAATTTTCTGCTTTGAAGTATATTTTATAACTTTCTATGTGAAGCAACTCTCACCTTACTTCCCCCCTAATTAGGGGCGCACGACTTCCACGCGAAGCGACCTCCCCTTGCTTAGGAAATCTATTTTAAAGCAGAGAATTTTTGTTCTATATATTACTATTTGGAACAGAAATTCTCTGCATTGGTAGAAAAGAAATGTTATTTTTTAAAAATTCTTTTGTTAATATCTTTTTAATGGAGGACGAGCGACGGCTAGAACCTGTTGTTACTCAGGGTTATGACCTTGATAACATACCTTGATATATAAATATATATATATCAAGGTCAATGTCATGGGAGTGGTGTCCCCTATTCGGTATATTTACCTCTCTTTAAAAGAATATTTTTTAATATTATTTTCTTCTCTCTCTCTCTCTCAATTTATGCAGCATTTTATTATGTCGTAAAAGTCATTTTAAGAAAAATTGGCATTACCTATCGTGTGCAAGAAATATATGAAATTTAATGAGTTAAATAAATCCGAAAACATGAAACGTGTTAGATGAAAACGACTCTAAGCTCCTCTCCGATGGAAATACATTGCAGTGAATGTATTATTAGCATGCGAACGGCATTTTCCAATATTAGTTCGGGGTACCCGAAAATTGCTAAAACTTAAATTTAGAGCCCTTATAAAAATTTTTCACCGTTTTTAACCCGTTTTTAGCCCGCGCGAAAGATTAATTTGAGTGGTGAAAACATGCATTTTACTCAATGAGTATGATTCCGTTTTTAGGTCGCAAATAGGAATGTTTCCGTAAAAATGAATGGTTAAACCGGATTGCACTCATGCAGGACACGAGTATATCTGAGTGATAAAAACGTATACATTATTAATATTTTTGAGTGGTATCGTATATACGTGCTGCGTAAATTTGAGATGAAAAAACATATATGAGTGCAAAATACTCATTTAGCATTCGTCACTCACATTGCACGTTTTCACCACTCAAAATTACGTAATTCGTAGTAAGGCATAACCGATATCAATTCCTTCTTTCTGTGGCGTAAATCTTGGCGCAGCGTATATAAATATCGGAGTTACCTTATTGTATGAATTCCATTTCAATTTATTAGATATTGTATGAAATATTTAAAAAGTATTAAAGTAAAAATACTTTTTAATCGTTTAATGTAAAATTGATATGATAATTAATAAACGCGATAAATAAATGATTAGTAAAAGAAGGACGTATTAACGTGTTCTCACTTATCAGCTAAAAAGTGGACAATCCACTCAAAAATACTTCCAACGGAAAAATGAGTATTGAAAATGAACAATCTACTCAAAAATATTCATAGCGGAAAAATGAGTATTGAAAACGGGTAATCTCCTCAAAAATACTCATACGCATATTTCTTTATACTCGTTATCGTTCCTCGCCATACACCGCGAATGCTTGTGAGTGCAAGAAAAGAGTAGGAACGGCTAAAAACGAGCTAAAAACAGTCTATATAAGGTCTAAAAACGGTGAAAAATTTTTATAAGGGAGCACAAACGTCTATATTCACGTCAATAACAAGTTTAAGGGTGAATAGCAATTTGTTATGCATTTGCTTTCTACTATTTGCAACGTAATAAGAAAGAATCAATTTTATAATTGTCTTATCTGTTTCCTTTTCTGGTTTCCCTTTAAATCATGCATATCTGTTTTCTTATCAGTCTTATCTATAATCAGTCCTATAGTCACATTTTTAAATTAAGATTTTTATTTATTCTTAATAATGTTTAATAATAACGTCTAATAATGAATATGGTCTATGTTAATAAGATGTTTCACATATAAAAAAAATTATTACATAAGTAAAATTCGAGCGATTTAAATTTAAATTTTAAGTGTATTTAGTGTGTATTATCTACAGAAATATAAAAATTGTCAAAATAAACAATAAGAATCTTATTGGACCATATTTTTGTGCTGGATCTTCAGTTAAATAATTCGATGTAAATTGTTAAAATAAATTAAAAATATAGCAACAAAATTTATCAATTATTCGTAATGAACTAAATAAACAAACCGCTTTTAGCAAGTGATTTTTTAATAATATCATTGATATTATTATGCTAAATTGTAGCATAAGGAAAAAATACTTTGGAGCTTTATATCATCAATAGATTTCATAGCGCCATTCTTATTTGTAAGCTTGGTGATTGTTCGTGCTTATAATTCCTTTGAAATTGATTTGGTTACCTGTAGATCCACTCGGGTTTCGCAGAGATCGCCCGTATAGCCGAGCGGGCAGAGACAGACAGCCGTGTCGCCTCCGGTTGTCAGGCATTTTCCACCGTGGGAACACGGTACCTTACTGCACCTGTCGGCCGTGCACTCCTCTGGAACGACAATAAATCAGGCGATTTAATAAAAGTTCCGGCGGAGTGCGAAATCAAGAGTTACATGAGTGAAAATCGGATCGAGGCCGACTCGATTCGACTCGACTCGACTGCGCGCGAGATAAAACCAATAAAATCACTTGCGCCTCGACAGGCCGTCGCGTCCGATTTATCGAAGTGGAGAAGTATCAATCTCTTCCGCCTCATCGTATTTTCGACGATATCATTTAGCGTGCACGAGCATTGACGAGGAAATTTTTTTGCGCACATCCACACGACGTCGACGATGATATAACACTCGATGTTGGGCTTTACAACGTGATGGGACAATTGGCCGGAAATACGCGATTTCCCCCCCCCCCCGTGGTGAGATATATATTTAACGTTGTTTTTTTATGTCACTAATTTTAACTGATATTTCTGTAAAACTTCGTATTTGTGTTATCATTGCAAAACAAATTATTGCTTATAATTAGAGTTCTTTAAGTATTGTTATATAACAAATAGCTTATTAAATTAGAAAAAAATTATTAATTATTCGATTCCACATTCCAGTCTTTCAATTAGGAAATTTATTAAATAATAATTACAAATTAATTGATTATTTGTCATTTATAATTTTAATAATGGCAAAGAAACAACCTCCAATGGCTTTGATTTGACAAATATTGTGCAGGACATGATCTTGAACAACATATAAGAGGTTTTAACCGTAGGTCGCGGACAACTTGCGTCATGCTAATGCCGGTTGTATTGTAACTTTCGAGCCTTATAACTCGGAAAGTACTTAATGAAAAAATATTTTATTATAGTGTTTTGAAAAGCTCTCGAGGTAAGTTATAAGAAAATGTAACGAAAAATAGGGGGTTTCATTAAAAAAAATCGACGTGATCTTGACTTGGCCTTGGCGACGCCACCCAAGATCAAATCAATGGTACTTTCTTATATCCCCCTCCGACCCATACAACTTTTATCTGAAACATTTTTCCGTATCTTTCATATTTTCCGAGATATTCGGTCCAATACGTTTGAAATTTTTCACCCCATATATATATATATATATATATA